CATCCACACTGCATTGTAGGTCTTAAATTTTCTGTTTACATCTCTATTACAAACCGTCAGAGCTTTGAAATTGTAGAGTGATGCTTTCTCCTTCGGTCTTATTGTTTTGTCCATCTTTTTACTTTAATTAAAAATTGGGAAATTTGATATAAAAAAAGCCATTAGGAGAATGGTATTGGTCGCACGGTTATGGCCAAATGTTCAAAATGTTTATGAGGGGCTCGGGAGCTGCTGAGTCCTCGTGAAAAACTGACCACTAAGGCCTAATTTTCAGAAGCACTGAGCACTTGAGATTCTAGTTGAAATTCAGGAGAGCAGACTGTGCTCCTCTCCTCTAGAAATCCATGACCACGAGTGCTCAGAAGTCAGGCAAATGTTAAAGGATGCACATGTAACCTTAACTTTGCCCTCTTGTGCAACTATTTTCCAATGTAGTCTATTAACTGTATGAACACATGCTATTTCAAAATATAGTGTTGTACAATTTCTTTTTCCTTGCCATGTTAGACACACACATGTAGGATCTTGCAGTGTGTAATAGTTTTTGTATGCCAGACAAACTGAAGTTACTTATATGGAAACATGAGCACAGAGACCCAACAATTGTAACATTGTACAAGTTGTCCTCTGCTAGCTTGCTATCTGGTGAGTCTTGGAGCCTCCCACGGGGCAGGAAGGCATTGAGCTCAGCTGTATCTAGCACACCTGCTGTATATTTAGGCTTGGAAAGATTAGATTTTTATTGTTCAATGTCAATAAACATCCGTTTCATCATACATACACACAGACAAATGAAAAAAATATCCATTGAAAATTTACAGAAAGGTAAACCACGAAAAATGCTGCCCAGCCACTCCCAGTCTCTATTCAAGCCCAAGTTAATGGTATCTAGTTTGCATATTAATTCAAGTTCATAGAGACTAGGAGTGGCTGGGTCATTACACAAATTGAGTCTATTTCCCCATGATAAGTATCCTCACACCTTCTTGTCAACTGTCTGAAATGGGCCATCTTGATTATCACTACAAAAGTTTTTTTTCTCCTGCTGATAATAGCTCATCTTAATTAATTAGCCTCTTAGAGTTGGTATGGCAACTTCCACCTTTTCATGTTCTCTCTGGGTATATATATCTTCTTACTATATGTTCCATTCTATGCATCTGATGAAGTGGCCTGTAGCCCATGAAAGCTTATGCTCAAATAAATTTGTTAGTCTCTAAGGTGCCACAAGTACTCCTGTTCTTTTTGCAGATACAGACTAACATGGCTGCTACTCTGAAACGTGTTTTTATAGTTACAGTAGAACCTCAAAGTTATGAACACCAGAGTTATGAACTGACCAGTCACCTCATTTGGAACCGGAAGTACTCAATCAGGCCGCAGTAGAGACCAAAAAAAAAGGAAATACAGTACAGTACTGTGTTAAATGTAAACTGTTAAAAAAATAAATGGAAAGCAGCATTTTTCTTCAGCATAGTAAAGTTTCAAAGCTGCATTAAATCAATGTTCACTTGTAAACTTTTGAAAGAACCATAACGTTTTGTTCAGAGTTACGAACATTTCAGAGTTACGTACAACCTCCGTTCCCGAGGTGTTGGTAACTTTGAGGTTCTACTGTGTAAAACTTTAACTTTTGAACCCTAGTGACTCCAGCAGCCTGGGGTGAGCTGGAGAAAAAGTCCTGTATCCTTTGGGCAGGGGTACCCTTTAACAGAAAGGGGGGGGGGGGGTGTACCCAGCCTACAACTAAAGCCTAGTGGTCCAGGGAAACATCCTCAAAGATATTTAGGTGCCTATCTCCCATTGATTTCAATGGGACTTAGGCATTTAAAGATCTTTGAGGATCTGAGCACTGGCCTCTACATCAACCTGACCTTCAAGACATGAAATTTGTAGTGCTGGGCCAAACTTGAGCTCTTCCTGGTGCCTGGGAGGCGTCACTGTGTCCATGTGGGTGTCAGTGAGGCTTGGAGGTCCAGGAAGATATCAGAGCAATTTTAGTGTGACCACCCTGAATTCTCCTTTGACCAGGGTTTGCTTTGGGTCCTTGAGTTCCAGGGCAGACCAGAGCCATCCTGCCCTCTTGGATTCAGAGGTGCTTGGAATGAAACCCTGTCACTCAGTGCCACAGCCTCAGTGGCTTTTTGGCAGGATTGACCAGACTTCCCTGGGTGCCCAGGGATGCTCTCATCTGGGGCAATCTGGAGCTTTGGCGGGAAGTCTGATCTCATAGGGAGGACTTGGGTGTCTGGGGTGAACAAAGGGGGAAAGACTCCTGGTGTCTCTCTCGAGGGCATTGAGCTGGCCGAATGCTCTGGATCCCTTTCCAACGCTCATCTGGTGCTTGCTAGAAAAAGGACTCAGGAACTGTACAAAAATGAGGGGGTTAGTTAAACAGAAGTTAAAAGGTACAGTGACTAAAGTGAAATCCCTGCAAGCTGCATGGGCGCTTTTTAAAGACACCATAATAGAGGCCCAACTGAAATGTATACCCCAAATTTAGAAACACGGTAAAAGAACTAAAAAAGAGCCACCGTGGCTTAACAACCATGTTAAAGAAGCAGTGAGAGATAAAAAGACTTCCTTTAAAAAGTGGAAGTCAAATCCTAGTGAGGCAAATAGAAAGGAGCATAAATACTGCCAAATTAAGTGCAAAAATGTAATAAGAAAAGCCAAAGAGGAGTTTGAAGAACGGCTAGCCAAAAACTCCAAAGGTAATAACAAAGTGTTTTTTAAGTACATCAGAAGCAGGAAGCCTGCTAAACAACCAGTGGGGCCCCTGGATAATCGAGATACAAAAGGAGCGCTTAAAGACGATACAGTCATTGCAGAGAAACTAAATGGATTCTTTGCTTCAGTCTTCACGGCTGAGGATGTTAGGGAGATTCCCAAACCTGAGCCGGCTTTTGTAGGTGACAAATCTGAGGAACTGTCACAGATTGAAGTGTCACTAGAGGAGGTTTTGGAATTAATTGATAAACTTAACATTAACAAGTCACCGGGACCAGATGGCATTCACCCAAGAGTTCTGAAAGAACTCAAATGTGAAGTTGCGGAACTATTAATTATGGTTTGTAACCTGTCCTTTAAATTGGCATCTGTACCCAATGACTGGAAGATAGCTAATGTAACGCCAATATTTAAAAAGGGCTCTAGAAGTGATCCCGGCAATTACAGACCGGTAAGTCTAACGTCGGTACCGGGCAAATTAGTTGAAACAATAGTAAAGAATAAAATTGTCAGACACATAGAAGAACATAAACTGTTGAACAATAGTCAACATGGTTTCTGTAAAGGGAAATCGTGTCTTACTAATCTGTTAGAGTTCTTTGAAGGGGTCAACAAACATGTGGACAAGGGGGATCCAGTGGACATAGTGTACTTAGATTTCCAGAAAGCCTTTGACAAGGTCCCTCACCAAAGGCTCTTACGTAAATTAAGCTGTCATGGGATAAAAGGGAAGGTCCTTTCATGGATTGAGAACTGGTTAAAAGACAGGGAACAAAGGGTAGGAATTAATGGTAAATTCTCAGAATGGAGAGGGGTAACTAGTGGTGTTCCCCAAAAGTCAGTCCTCTGACCAATCCTATTCAACTTATTCATAAATGATCTGGAGAAAGGGGTAAACAGTGAGGTGGCAAAGTTTGCAGATGATACTAAACTGCTCAAGATAGTTAAGACCAAAGCAGACTGTGAAGAACTTCAAAAAGATCTCACAAAACTAAGTGATTGGGCAGCAAAATGGCAAATGAAATTTAATGTGGATAAATGTAAAGTAATGCACATTGGAAAAAATAACCCCAACTACACATACAATATGATGGGGGCTAATTTAGCTACAAGAAGTCAGGAAAAAGATCTTGGAGTCATCGTGGATAGTTCTCTGAAGATGTCCACGCAGTGTGCAGAGGCGGTCAAAAAAGCAAACAGGATGTTAGGAATCATTAAAAAGGGGATAGAGAATAAGACTGAGAATATATTATTGCCCTTATATAAATCGGTGGTACGCCCACATCCGAATACTGCGTACAGATGTGGTCTCCTCATCTCAAAAAAGATATACTGGCACTAGAAAAGGTTCAGAAAAGGGCAACTAAAATGATTAGGGGTTTGGAACGGGTCCCGTATGAGGAGAGATTAAAGAGGCTAGGACTCTTCAGCTTGGAAAAGAGGAGACTAAGGGGGGATATGATAGAGGTATATAAAATCATCAGTGATGTGGAGAAAGTGGATAAGGAAAAGTTATTTATTTGTTCCCATAATACAAGAACTAGGGGTCACCAAATGAAATTAATAGGCAGCAGGTTTAAAATAAATAAAAGGAAGTTCTTCACGCAACGCACAGTCAACTTGTGGAACTCCTTCCCTGAGGAGTTTGTGAAGGCTAGGACTATAACAGCGTTTAAAAGAGAACTGGATAAATTCATGGTGGTTAAGTCCATTAATGGCTATTAGCCAGGATGGGTAAGGAATGGTGTCCCTAGCCTCTGTTTGTCAGAGGGTGGAGATGGATGGCAGCAGAGAGATCACTTGATCATTGCCTGTTAGGTTCACTCCCTCTGGGGCACCTGGCATTGGCCACTGTCGGTAGACAGGATACTGGGCTAGATGGACCTTTGGTCTGACCCAGTACGGCTGTTCTTATGTTCTCATGTACTTATGGGACGCTTCGTCTTCCTGTGACGAGGCCACATGAGTCCTGAGAAGGGGCTATTGGGAACCCTTGGATTCTGCCAGCTACATGAGACCTGGCACCAGAAGCCCTTCCTGTAGGAGGCTGGTAGCTGGAGATCCCTGCCCCAGAGAAGGCCAGGCAGCCTTAATCTCCTATGCCTTCTCGCAGTGAGGGGATGAGGGAGATGTTCGTAGCGCAGATGGGGAAGGGTGTATAGAAAAGGAAAACACAGGCCAGGGGAAAGGGAGACAGCATGGGGAGAAAGGAGGAGGAGAGACACGCCTCTCTCCGGGAGCACCCAATCAGTGTGTTTCTTTCTTCGCAGCCGCAAGAAGCGGGGACAGCCAAGCAACAAGGATGTGGCCCAGATCGGCCCCAAGAGAATCAGGTAGGAACCTGGCCTGGAACCCTGGCCATGACTCTGCTGGCTGCCCTGCCCTAGAGCCCTTATGGTAGCAGAGCTGGGCTGCAAACCAGTCCCTCGTATCCCTGCTCCCCACGGCTGGACTCCCCACTCCACTGAGCGACTGGTGGTGCCTCCTGCGACGGGCAGTAGTTGGGGAGGGGCGGGATCTCCCTCTCTGTCTGGATTGGCCTCTTGGTGGGGGTGGCAGCGCCATTCCAGTTGGACTTAGAGGGGAGGAAAAGCCCCATTAGCCCCAGAGCCACACACCGGGGGCTGCTTCCCACAGCCCGTTACCTACTGTACTTTTCAATGGCCCCAGTGATGGGCAATCCTCTTGCCATTTGGTCTCCTGTCCATTCCCCCTTGCAACCACCCCTCTCTGTCCCTGCATACGCTCACAACCTAGTGATTCTCCCTGGCGTTTCTTGCATCCCCACCGCCGCATCAGTTGGCGTCTTCCACAGGGCGTGCGACCCACCCCTTAGCGCCCCCACCCGCACACCTTCCCCGTTGCTAGTGGTGTGTTTTGTCCAATCTGTCCACCATCCCACCCCCAATACTTTACACAGCTAACCAAGAGACCAGAGCAGATGGGCACAGATGGGAGAAAAGAGGTTGGAAAGGAGATGGAGAGCCAGTGAGGCAGGGAGATGAAGGGGGCTTTATCTAGACATCACAAGCCACAGAGGAGAGGTGACGAAGGCAGCTGGTGCGCAGGGAAAGATCCAGGGAGGTGGCTGCAGAGCAGAGGACACGGCTCTTGCCCCTGCAGCGGGGAGATGGAGAGGAGAGGACAGAGGGAAGGTCCACAAGGGAGGGTTTGAGAACTGAGGGGCTGCTGAACTGCATCCGGGCTCCTCTCTGCAGGAAGGCAACCAAGCGCGAGATGCTCCTGTGCGACTTCGAGGGCTGCGGCAAGATCTTCTCCAACCGCCAGTACCTGAATGTGAGTGACACGGTGACCTGTGGGGAAGGGCACCTGACCCGCCCCCAGGCATCGCCTGGTACGCAGTGGGATACATGGCCCAATACCATTATGGTCCTGGTATCAGCCCAGCTGTGGGCTTAACAATCAGTTCAGTGTGACCCACCGGTGAACGTATGTTACAGGTCCCTCTCTGTGCCTGATCCACAGACAATATGAGTCTGCGATGGTATTACCATAGTTCAAGCTGTAGCTACTCGTGCTTTTAATTCCGTTTCAATCCCTGGCCCAAATGGGAGCTGTCGCATATGCCCCAGTCGCTCCCATCTGACTGGCTGTTCAATGAAACGAGTCCGTGTGTCCTCAGTTCCCAGCAGGACAAGATTCTATATCAGGGCTAAGGCCCCGACCCAGAGCCAATCGACATCCATGGTGAGATTCCCACTGATTGCAGTCGACTTTGGAACATGATCCAGTCGGCCATCTGTGCTGCAGCCTCCACAGAAAGGCTGGGGGCGGAATGGGCCATAGAGATATGGCTTTCCTCTGCCATCCCACAGAGAGAGCTGAGTGGCACCAGGGAGCCCCCCTGTTTTGAAGCTGCTGGTCCAGCCCCAAAGCCAAAT